TTGGATTTAACTCGAAGACTTTTCATAATTAAATCTTAATTAGGGTGGGAAATTCAGCCTCCCTCTGGGCAAATTCACTATAACATTTTTTCTGAACAGCCACCCTGGATTTCGTGTTAGTACAGCAGTGCTGGAGTTGATGCATCTCCTATATCCCTCAGTGTTCCAAGGGTTTTTTTACAGTAAGAATTGCCGAATTCTCCCTTTCCCTGCAGACAGCAATTTTTAACTCTATGATCCTTTGCAGTTTCTGTGGTGCTGACAAGTTTTTCAGTCATTGCTTGAGGGTTGACTAACCCATTCGATCAAGCTCTGTGCTTTTCTTTCTAAATCTAGCACAGTGGTCTTATGCTCTGTAGTGTTGTTGTGGTATCACGGCACCTTTTGTATCACTCCTCTAAGGGAAAGTCAGTGGTGATGTCAAATAAACAAGATGAAGAAAAGTGGTTTATTCTCAGACATCAGAGCCTGTGCTGTCTGTCACTCCCACCTTCTTCTGAAGATGTTGTGAGTCTTAACATTAACTGTGAGTGTTGGTGATTTTGCCTACAGCGACAGATGTCAGGGTGTCTAAATCCTGGACATACAATTTGTTCTCAAAGCCAGCATTTCCAAACACTGCCTCTTCAAAGAGTGTTGTTACATTCTGATTGTTAAGAGCTAGATTTGGTTTTTAATTCTTAGGAGGCCTTCCAGCTCCTGTGAGCCTCCAGGCTACAACCTTGATAAGTTCTTTCCTTGCTTCTTTCAACAGATATTCATGTTATTCATGTATTTCTTATCCTGCTTTCTTTTTATCCTTTTACAAATTTTCAGTTTCCTTTTTTTTTATTATTTTTCTCCCTGCAGTGTTTTTATTGCTTTGCTTTCCTTTTTTTTGCCTTCTTTTTTTTTGTTTTCTCTCACAAGTCTACTTATTTCTTTACTTCCCCAGCGCTAAACCCTGGAGGATTTGTGACATTTGACATCTAAGAGCTGACTTCTTGTGGCCGAAGTTCTGCAACTCCTGAAATGATGAGGACCTCCATAAATACAGGTACACAGACTGAAGTGATTATTGATTTTCTGCATGAGGTAGAGCTTAAAGCACAGACCAGAGAATGCCTAGCTGGCTGGGGTCTGAGTTTTTGCAAGGCAGCCAACAAACAGAAGTGATACCATTGGTGCCGCTGCCTAAATTTATGTTGATTATAAGGAGTGAAGTGACAACCAGTTCTGTGAAAACCACAGTGCACTTGAGTGTTATGCATGAAACGACATCAATAGATGGTGCTGCCCTGTGCAGAGTGTTGTTTTTCATTCTCCTTCATCTGTAAGTTTTCTCAGTAATTAGTCTTACTTTTGTATCTTGTAGAAGGTGAAATCTCAAATCTCTGAACATTAAGTATCTTTACTATAAGGCCTTGGTGTTTTGGAGGTAGTTGTGTGTTCAGCCTGGAGAAGAGGAAAATGAAGACTGACCACGTCACGGTATACAATTTCCTCACAAGGGGCAGTGCAGGGACAGCACTGACCTCTTTTCTATGTGACCAGAGACAGGACCTGCTCAATGGCCTGAAGATGTGCCAGGGGAGGTTTGGTTGGGTATTTGGAAAAGCTTCTTTCCCCCAGAGGTGTTTGGGCACTGGAACAGCTCCCCAGGGCACTGGTCACAGCCCCAAGCCTGACAGAGCTCAAGGAACATTTGGACAGTGCTCTCAGGCACAGGGTGGGATTGTTGGGGTGTCCTGTGCAGGCTAAAGAGTTGGACTTAATGATCCTTGCAGATCACTTCTAACTGAATATTCTGTGATTCTATTGAAGCCATGTTAGTCTTGCAAAAAAACCCACCACATAAAGCTGAAAGATGGGAAATCCCACTATGAAACTGCATGAAGCAAATGACTGAGTTTATCTTCACTGGGAACCTAGTCCTAAGCTGTTGGACCTGAAATCCATTGTTGATGTTTCAACTCCTCTGTGATTCTTAATTAGCAAGGACGAGCATTTTAAAGACCTTTACCTCTCCCCAGCTGGATTGTAGGCTTGTGGATGGGAAGTCTGCCATGGCAGCTTGTTCCCAAATGGTACAACCCAGAAACATGCCCTGGTTCACTGAAGGGTGTGCAGGAAAGGCTGGTGGGACTGGATGTGCTTAGGGCCACCCTGACAGCAACGGGCACCCAGAAATGATGAGCTGGGTGAGATGTCTGGGGACAGAGCTGCTCTGTCACTGAAAGTTTTCTCAAATAAAAAGCTATTTCATTGAGCCTTGATTTTTTGTCTCCCTGATTGACCAACCTAGTGGCCTTCTATGATGACATGACTACATCAATGGACAAGGGAAGGGCTACAGATGTAATTTATCTTGACTTCTGCAAAGCCTTTGACATAGTCACTCACAACATCCTTCTCTCTAAATTGGAGAGTAATAGATTTGACTGTTAGATGGATAAGATAGTGGTCGGACGTTCTCATCCAGAGGGTGGTGGTGAACAGCTTTGCGTCCCAATGGACATCAGCAACAAGTGGTGTCCCTCAGGGTCCATACTGGGACCTGTACTGTCTAATATCTTCATTAATGGCATAGACAAAGGGATTAAGTGCACCCTCAGCAAATTTGCTGATGACACTAAGATGAGTGGTGTGGTTGCCACACCCTAAGGATGTGGCTATCCAGAGGGACCTGGACAAGCTCAAGATGTGGCCCATGCGAATCTCATGAGGCTTAACAAGGCCAACTGCAAGGTGCTGCACCTGGGTCAGGGCAATCCCTGGTATTGAGAGCAGCTGATTGAGAGCAGCCCTGGGAAGAAGGACTTGGGGGTGCTGGTGGGTGAGACGCTGGACGTGAGCTGACAATTTGTGCTCACAGCCCAGAAAGCCAAACACACCCTGGGCTGCATCAAAAGCAGTGTGGTCAGCAGATTGAGAGAGGAGATTCTGTCCTTCTGCTGCACTCTGGTGAAACTCCACCTGGAGTGCTGCATTCAGTTCTGGGGTCCCCAGCACAGGAAGGACATGGACATGCTGTAGCAAATCCAGAGGAGTCACCAAGGTGTTTAGAGTGATCAAGCACCTCTCCTACAAGGAAAGGCTGAGAAAATTGGGTTTGTTCAGTCTGGAAAACAGAAGGCTTAGGGGTGACCTAATTGTGGCCTTCCAGTACCTGAAGGGGCCAAAAGAAAGATGGAGAGAGATTTTTTACAAGTGCATGGACAAGGGGGTATAGATTCAAACTGAAAGAGGCAGATTAGATTAGATTAGATATTAGGAAAAAATTCTTTACTGTGAGGATGGTGGGGTACTGGGCACAGGTTGCCCAGAGTAGCTGTGGCTGTCCCATCCCTGGAATGTTCAAGACCAGGCTGGATGGAGCTCTGAGCAACCTGGGCTAGTGGAAGGTATCTCTGCCCATGGCAGGGGGGGTGGAACTATATGGTCTTTAAGGTCCCTTCCAACTCAGGCCATTCTCTGATCTTATAATATTATGATTCCATGTCTCTGGTGGTGCCAGCACTGCAGCAGGGCCCAGGAAGCCCACAGTAGGTTGTGTGTGGCTGGAGCAGGGATGTAGTGGCCAAGGACCCCTCATTCAGTGACCTGAGTCAGGGCTGCTCCATGTCTTGGGGTAACCAGCAGCAGCTTTGTCTGATTTCTTTGAAACAGAGTAAAACATTCACCCACTCCCCACTTTTTCCATAAACACAGCCCAGCAAGGTGAATACTCTCACCTGAGTCAACCAGTCTGCCAAACACGACCCTGTGTTCATGAGTTAGTCAGGAAAACCTTTGGGCTCCCAAAAGCCAAAAGAGGGAGAGTTGGAGTCATTCAGTAGTTTTCACCCACTTTGGCCAGGGGAATTAAGAGCTCAAGACACTTAATTTTGAGTGACGAACTATGAGATTTAAGAGGCAGAAATCAGGAATGTGGATGGAGTAATTAGGGTTGACCATTGATTGAGCACTGGAGGAGGAACAGTTTGCTCAATACTGACAGGTATCACACCTAGAAAGCACATGAATCAGTCCTTGTGCCTCCCTCTGAGTTAGGACTCAGCTCTGCTCCTCTGCTGTAGTTGTGCTTCCTAAAGCTCTTCATGCTGACATTCCTCTTCTGAGTCACCAAAGGTCTGGAAAAAGTTAACATATATCTATATATCTCTGTCTCTATGGGTAATCAGAACACCTGACCACAAAATCTTAAAGAGGGAAGGAGCCAGCAAGTGTACTGCTGGAACTTACTCCATGTGGAGGTGTAAGCAACCTTGGCCAATCAAATTTCTGCCCATAATGTTACTTTAATAGTCCATGATTTTACAGCAACATGTGTTCAAAATTATAGTTTCCAGAAAACGGCACAAGACTTCGAAAGTTTAACCAGAATGTTAAAAGAGCTGTTCAGAAAAAAACCCAAACAACACAACATAAAAACACTTTGCCAACTCTTTGAATGTATTTATTTATGTTTGGATTTGTGTAAGGAAGTCTCATGCTATAAATTCTTATTAAAAACATGTCATTAGAAATAAATAGTACATTTATAGTCATAAACAAACCAGTAGTTTTTACACATACTAATGCTGGGCTTCCTCTTACCAAACTGGAAGAGTGTTCCACGATCTAATTTTTTTTGTTTATACCTGATATAAAAGGATAAAGTTGCTGCATGAAGTTTATACTTATTGTAGTTTTGATATGTGTTCAGACTATGGTTTGTCTAATACTATTTTTCTAATAGTATTTATATGCAAAACATCCCCTTCTGTTCTTGCTATTGATTTTGCATGTGGTAAATGAGCTTAAATGCTGCGGAAAGAACATAATGATTATGACAAAGATTAATATATTGGTTGCTTTTTTCCAGCTTACTCATGGAAATGACTGATTTGTATGAAAAAATGGAAATGTGCGGATAGAAAGGCTCAGTAATACCAGATGTTTAAAAGAAAAAAATGCACTTCTTTAATTCACCAGAGCCTAATTTTCATTAGCTATGTGAAAACATGTGGCCTGGTGGCTCAGATGCTAGGGAAGCAGAATTCCTCGATGCTGTTCTCCTTCCTGGTTTCTGTCTCCTGCAAGTCGAGTTGATGATACTCAAATGTCACGCGGTTGATGTGTTTGCCACTGGAGACCATTCGCAGCACAGTGTTGTCACAGCCAATCTTCATTTGGGCTAAGTGGGGTAAAGAGATATTAATAAGATATAAAGATACACTCAGGAGAGAGAGCAAGGGAAAGGAGATGTATAATGTTGGGAATTATAAAGCATCAGTTTTGGAAATAAAGCAAATTTGTGTGTGGTAATGACTGGACAGTGGTGATATTGCCCATTGATTTTTGTTTTTGTTAGTTTTACATTGCAATGTTTGGGTATTTAATCAAGCACTGTAACCTTCACCCATGCAAATGCTAGTCTACAGCTCTCTGCCAGTGTTGAATACCATGAGTGATGGGTGAGGGTAATGGCACTCTGTCCTGGAAAAAACCAAAATCAGCAATATAGAAATGTCTCCTGTTAGAGGGATGAGTGTGTTTGTGTGTAAGGATGTTCTTCACAGTAACAAAGGCATGTGAAAGTCCCATCAAGACAAACTCAAATAGCAGTGCCCAGCACCTGGACTCACTCTGAGGGAAATGAAAAATATCACTAACAACTGCTTTAGATGAGCCATTTCATGGTATCATAGGATATTTGGAGCTGGAAGGGACCCTTGAGGATCATCAAGTCCAACTCCTGACCCTGCACAGTACACCCCAACAATGCACCCTGTGCCTGAGAGCATTGGCCAAACACTCCTTGAGCTCTGTCAAGTTTGAGGCTGTGACCACTGCCCTGAGAAGCTGTTCCAGTGCCCAGACACCTCTGGGGAAAGAACCTTGTCCTGTTCTCCAACCTGAACCTGTTCCAGTGCATAAACACCTCTGGGGGAAGAACCTTGTCCTGTTCTCCAACCTGAACCTGTTCCAGTGCATAAACACCTCTGGGGGAAGAGCCTTTTCCTGATAGCCAACCTAAACTTCCCCTGACAGAACTTCAGGCCATTCCCAAATTCAGGCCATTGAGTGGGTTCTGAGCAAAGCCTATTCATTTGGGGGAACTTGGAGCACCTTCTTCACAGGGGGAGAAATCTGAAAGGTCATTACTGAGATGGAATTTCACTTCCTTCACATCACCAAAAAATCACATTTTAATCTCAGCTCAGTTTTCAGTATTTGCCAGCACCAGCACTTTCCAGTTAAAGTCTTGAACAGTGCATGGACTACTAAGTTGTGGTGTGTTGAAAGTCACAGGAGACCACAGAGGCAAAATACCAGGAAATTTCCTGCTTTCCAGCTCTGTGGAAATGTCACTTCTTCAGTGCCCCCACTGATACTCCAGAGGTATGATAGGTGTGCTACAGGGGTTAGTCTGCTATTGAATACCAGGGAAACTGGAAATCCTTACTTTTGTGGGGAGAAAGAAGTCACTGACCTGGCATAATAGTGAAACAGGTTCAGAGCCACCCCCAGGATTCAAAGCAGAGAATGGGAGCTCTGAGCTCTGAGGCTTTCTGTGTGTGTGTTACACCTGCAGCAGAAATTGAGGCTTTGGAAACACTGAGTAAGCAAGAGAAAAGTTCCTTAAATGAAAATGCAACCACTCTGCCTTCATTTTTTTGTGAATTTCCAGGCTCATTTATGTGCTGACATTATAATAATCATATTTATCATAGGACAAGCATTTTAAAAATATGTGTCAATGATTTCTTGTTACAATGATTACTGCAAGGCCAAGTGGAGGTTGTAGTGGGTGTGCTGTAACCACACACCTGAACCACAGGCGTGAATAGCCTTAGCTCTCATGTTCTGCTACATGTGAAGTTCACCACTCTAGCAGGAAATCCAGGTTGGAGCAGTCTCTGCATGCCTTATTGTGGTTAATTACTTTATCATGTGGAGGTAATTGGAAGAAGGAGTTCTTACCAGACCCATGAAAAGAGTGACAAAGGTCAGCTAGTGGGAACATCTTGGATGGGTCTAAACCAGCTCCTCCTAGAAGCTCCACGAAATCTCCTACTCCTGCACAGCCTGCTGATGGTTTCTAAAAAGGCAAAGACTAGCAGTTATTTACCTTCAAAATGCAGCAGTTCTCTAGACATGATTGCAGCCAACAACAGCTTTTAGAAGTCCCCTGTACTCAAACCTCTGTGGAATCAGGTTCTCATCCTGAGCAATACTACTTTGATTTGACATTACTCAGTTAATTTCCTTTAGGGATTCCAAATACCGTCTTAAGTAGGCTCTGAAAATTATTGGCAAGTAGTTAAGGTGTTGATTCAACTGCTTTTAGTGCAGATAACTAATGTGATTCTGGGTGCTTAGACATGTAATGAAATTACAGGCAGGCACAGGCTGCATGTATGCCCACACTCAGCTGGCAGGCAGGAGCTAAAGTTCCACTGCACCATCCATATTCCTGAGCAATAAGCATTGCTAAAATGCACCATTGTGGCAAACTTTAACTAAAGTAGGATTAACCAAAAGAGTACCTTTGTGTGACAAGAATAGCTCACTGTATGTTAGACCCACGAGTACTGCCAGAAACACCTTGCACAGACACCTTTGGGCTGTCAGCCCTATGCTGCAATTTTAGTGTCTGATTTCTTTATCATCCTTCTGCTGTTGTCCCTCTTCTGTCCGCTGCTGAACAAGTCAACTAACTCACTTGCCCATCTCTTGAAACCTGGTTTCCTCAGACACTGGCAGTCCCCATGAGGGACCTCGGCTGCCAGGTTCACCGACAGGAGAAAACAAACTTTTTTTCTTGCTCCTATTCGTCTGGATATTTTGGAACTGGCACCTTCCTAGACCTCCCACGCACAGGGTATCACCAACAGCTCTTGTCCTCTCTTGTCTGTTCATCACTAGGCACAAAATGCTGTGGCCAAACCCCGGATCAGAGCAGACAGAAGAAAAGATGCTCAGCATGCTGAGCAGGCAATCAACTGTGAGCACATTTGTATTTTCTCCTTACTATCTGATCCATGTCTCTTTTCTCAGAGTGGTTGCTGCTTTCATTAGTTTAAATCCAGACAGACAGATCTTGGGGAGAGAACTCTTTTCTTCCTAATGAAATTCTTACCCTTTGTTATGGCGAGTAATAGTTACATGCATTAATGGTACTTTGCATAATTTGATTGCCACTGCAACTTTACAGAGAAAATAGTGACAGAGACAGACCCAGTTCTCATCTCTAGGGGGAAACCAGAGCCCTCAGGGTGGATGCAGGTGGTCCAGATCACACATGCCTTGGCAGCCAGTGCCACAGGCTATCCCTGCTTCATCCCTTCCCTCCCCTGTGCCCAGGAAAGCTGCACGTGGTAGCAATTTCTTATGAAATAAAGAACTCACCTTTAAAAAGAGACCATTTAAATGTCCCAGGATGAGATCAGATATTTTTATCACCACTGGGTAGATTATGGAGAAACTGCAGTTCCTGTGCTGGTGAGGAATGACCATGGTAAACCTTCCCGAGGGAGTCTGAGAGATGACATTGCAAGCTGTGGCACAAGAGAAGGTACAAGAGTTACTTGTGCAGTCATCACTGCATCTAGCAAAGTGATGTACTTCTAGCACCAAAACCAGCAGAGATGATTTAATTACTGAAGGCTACAGCCAAATGCTGAAAAATACGCATATGGCATTTTCTGGGGTTCTTGCATAGCATTTTCTCCCTAAAATTTCCCTCCTCGTGGTTTACTGTGTAGCATGAGGTCTAGCAGGACTTGAGGGTGAAGCAGTCAGTGGGAGAGCTCACACCCCAAATCCGTACATCAGGGGCTCGTATGGTTTGCCAGCTTGAAGGAGGCTAAGCAAGGCTGGAGAGCTTTTATTTAGCTTTGACAGATTGTTGCCTGTTGTCGGCAGGGGCTTGCAACCCCCTAAGTCCTGTTCTGCTCCTCTCACCTGAGTTCCTTACCCTGCAAAATATCTCGTTGAAATGAGAGCAAGCTGATTGCATCTTTAAGTTCAATCTAAAGAGTTCAGATACGGGAGTAGCTTATCATCTGTGTGTGCAGTCCAAGGGATCCTTGGCTCAGACCTGGGTGCCTGCAGCTGTTTCGTCAGGATAGTGAGGGACACCAGCCACCTCCAGCTAAACACAATAATCACATCCTTGGACATAAAGCCACAGCACGGACACTCAGCTGACAGGCTCAGGTTTGAACAACTCAGATTAAGGACAGGGCAGATGTAGTGCCAACTTTTGTCTTAAGCTTTTCCTTTTTTTGCGTGGTGAGGTAGATAAATCAGAGTGGCCTGAGCAATAGTTGTTAAATGTCCTGTCCCCTCTTGGAAAAGCGATGCAAGTGAGGCACACAAACTAGTTGCCCAAACAAGTCCTGGGTGCCCTACTGCTGGAAGTATTGGATGTGGCCCTGGACAACCGAGTTTAGTGGGTTGCATCCTGGCCATGGTGGATGGGTTGGAATGAGATATCTTTAAGGTCTCTTCCAACGCAGCTCATTCCATTATTCTATGATCATTTGTGCGTTGCCAGCTCACAGGCTTGGGGTAAGAACTTGCAAATAGATCATTGTGATAATATATCACTCATAATTATCACATAACTATTCGAAACATTGTTTTTACTGTTGAACTTTTTCAAACATGTTTTTCCTGATTGTTCACCCAGATCTAGAAATTTCTGAGATTAAACTCTCTGAATTAATATTGTTTGTTTTAGCCAAATGAGTTGGAACCTGCCAATATTAGACTGGGCGAGATCTTATTTGAAAGAAAGAGCCTTCTGGTCCTGTATATTGAAACCATGAACGTGTTGCCTCTTAAGCTTCACTTTTTTTCCCTTGGGACACACACAGTGCCTGAGTCAAATCTGCAGGTGTGTGTGGCTGCATTGGCTTTACAAGAGCTGTGTCAGTGCAGATAATGACAGCAAGAGAATTCAGTGCAAACCAACACATTCATTTTGCTTCCTGCCCCAAATTCAAGCCCCTTTGATGGTATAAAATGCAGACTTACGAAAGAGATTGGTGCTTTTCTTGACTGTGACAGTAAATCCATTGCCTGGCTGATGAATCCTGAAGAAGATCATTGCCACGTTCTGTGAAGACCTGATGCTCCTCTGGATATTCCCACTTTCACAGAAGTCTACATATCTTTGAGAAGTGGTAAGGGGATGGTCCAAAGAACTGGGAAATTTCTCTCCTTTGAGTATCCAGCCATCAAATACCTATAGGGGTTCAATAATTGAAAACAAGCTTTTTGCTTACCACTCTGGTAGCAGAGAACAGAAACAAGATGACACTTATTTTGATACCAGATGGCCTGTTCAAAGCCACCAATTAAAACCAAAACCTCTTTTTATTTATTGTTTTTCTAGCATTTAACTAATTATTCAAGCTTAAATTGGTATTTAGGAAAGGGATACATATCACTTTTAATGTCTTTTTCCTTTAGGTGACAATCCTGGTGATTTTTGGTTTTGTTCCAGCATTATCATCTGGGTTTTTTTTATTTCTTACTATTGCAATAGTAAGAATAATTGTTACTATAATTGTAAAAATTATTATATTATAATTGTTTTTATGATAAGTTTTTGACCAGCTTGATTTGGAAGCCACAAGACATATAAGTCACCCTCTCAGACTCTGGGCATTAAGTCTATTGATCCATCCTGTAATTTTCCACCGTCCATGTTTTACGGCTTGTAAAAAAGGTAATGGAATACAATAAAACTTAGAGGAGGAATTATTGGCAGAGGTATTGCTCTTGCCTGCATCTGCTCTTTCACCCCATCCTAACCAGCAGAAAGCAGAACAAATGCTGCACACCTGGCTGGACCTTAAGCATCAACCTCTACATACAAATCTTTCCTTCACAACAAAAATAGCAACAATTTGCCATCAGCATCTTCAGGGAAATGTGTCAGAAGCAGAAATAAGCATTAGCTCTAGCACAGCTATGCAGTTGCCTGTCTTGCTGTTTCGATTCCCTCCTAGCTGCTCTCACACTGCCATTCCTTCTATGCTCCAGTCAAGACTTCCAGTATTCAAAGACTGGATTCTGTCCTTGTTTCAGTCAATAATCCTAATGTGAGTATGTGGGACTTGCTGATAAAAATACTTGCAGGATCAGTCCCTGGATTTGCCAGAACTGTAAATTTTCTGAAGTAATGAGATGCAGATGCTCAAACTACACCAGGGAAAATCTGCTTTTATAAATACAGTAGTATAACACAGAAACTGGGGCACCATGACCAAACGCAAGAAGCCTCTATTTTCCAGCCTCCACAAGTGACCATAAGTCCTGGTACAAAATCCTTGGACCCACAAGAGGCTAAAATCAGCCTCCTTGTAGCCACATGGGAAGAGATCTCAGCCAAAGTATGGAATGGAGGGACAGGATTCCCTGGGGTAAAGCAAGCAGGGGGACAGTATCTCTCCAAGAGCAGGAGACAAGGAAAGGGCTAAAGGGCAGATCTCTTCCTCCTCCGCCTCCCTGGAGCTCAGAGTGCCACTATGTGGGATGGGGTCTGTGCTGTGCCTAGCTACTACAGTGCCAAGGGCAAAGTGCAAGGCGAGGGAGTAATCAGGGACTATTGTACCTCCCCTTCTCCTCTGGACCAAGTTCAAATCCCCTGATCAACGCTCCTGCCTGCCAGCAAAACACACTAGTAAAGTTTTTTGATATGGAAATATGAATGTCACTGAGTCACGAACCTCTTTCTGTTCAGAACCAACGTCCTGAAAAGCTCTAGCAGGGAAATGTGAAAGAAAGCCTGCAATGGTCCATTCATTAATAAGCTGATGTTAAGCGACCTGTGATCAGAGGTCCCAGTGCAGTAACAGCTGTTCAGAGAGGTGTATCATTATCTGCAGAGCTCCTGTGATTCATAGTGTAAGGAGAAAACCCTCCTAATAGGACTGGCAGGGGTGGCTTGCCTCCTAATAGGACTGGCAGGGTTGGCTTGTACTGACCAAACTGTTCAGCCAGTCCCCCAAGGTATGGACATTCAGTAGACCTGCTCCTGGAAAAGTTCAGCAGAGCTGGTGCTGTAGTTTGGAGAATGATCCTCATCCTGCATACAACTTTGCTTTAGAGGGGTGGTGATGGGGGAAACACATACCCAAAGTGCCTCAAGAAAGAGGAAGAGCCACCCCAGAGATGGTTCTGTTCTGCACACACAGCCACACACACATACTCGTGCACACATGCTCTTGCCCCTTGCACAAGCAGCAAACATCTCACGTGCCAGATGGGAGCAGGGAGGGGGATGTGCAGAGACACTTAGAGCTTCTTACCTTCAGGAAGTCACCTCCTTGGCAGTCAATGTTGACAAAATCGTAGTCTATTGTGATAAGCTCCTCGGGCTCCCCGATGAAGAAGGCTGCGCAGTGCAGCTGTGGTTGGTCTGCAGTGAAGGTGAACTGCCCCTCTATACTCAGCATATCAATGCACCCTGGAGAAGCAGGGACACAGGGCTGCTGCCTCAGCCTGCTCTGGAGGGAGACCCAGTGCCAACTCCCATGGTGCAGGGAAGGAGGGGGAAAGGAGAGACCCCCTCACACTGAGTCCTGGCAGGCAGCAAGGGCAGGCAGAGACAGCTGAAGCAATTATGATCCTGCTGAGCATCAAAGGATAAATAGTAACTTGCAGGTGTGTGCATAAGGGTGCAATGGAGGGATGTGGAGGGATGGCATGTCAAAGCATCTCTGAGCAGAAAGCTGTGTGTATATGCATAAGTGCACAAACAGACTATTCCTTCAGATTTCTCTTTAAGCACAGCTATTACACTTGTCCCATCCCTTGGCTATGTGATCCTGGCCAGAGACATGGGTTGAGAATCCCCATCCTACTCCCATTATTTGGGACCATCAACTGCGAGCTCCAACCCTTCGCCTCAGCCTCAGGTTTTCTGACTTTTAACACTTTTTCCTTCTTCTCCTTGGCCTTGCAAAAAGCTCCTGCAGCTCTGTCACTCCCGAATAGCCCCATTCCCCTCCCTGAGCCCTGAGGTCCCCCCAGGACTCTCCCACCCAGCAGTGTCCCTACCAAAGCACCAAAGAAACTCACGGAGCGACCGCCGATAGATATGCCCCGCAGACAGCTCTCGCTTCAGATCTTCACTGAGGAGTAGGAAGGGCTCATCATCACCAGCATCTCTCACCTGGTGAAAGAAGGGGGGCAAAAAGAGGATGGGGCCAAGTGAAATGTAGCCCACTCCCTGCATCTCTCGAGAACAGGCACAGCAGACTAAATCCCTCCTCTAAGGACAGTGCAGCTGTGGAAGAGCTCAGATGGAAATATGCCGACCTGCAGTAGAGGAGAAACAAACCTGGCACCTAAGAGATGAGCCCAGCAGCTAAGTGTATAGAAAGTCTCTTGAACCCTCAGCAAAAATGCTGGGGATAAACAAATGGAGAGGGAGTGCAGGACACATGGGATGGATTTATTAATGTTACCCAGGTGTAGGTTTAATGCAGGAGAAGTGGGAATAGGAGGGGAGAGAGGAAAAAAAAAAGCACAATGCTTGAAAGCTGAGAGTACAAGTTAGAAGAGAGCAGCTAAAAGCACAAAGAGGTGTTTTTAGTCATCATTGCTCACCTCCAGGTATCTGGTTTCCCCCTTGGAGGCTGCCAGGAAGATGAGAACGAGGTGGCACTGGAGCTGGAAAGCAGACGGCATGCTGACACCTCCTCTGGTGGCCCTCCCTCTCTCCTAGCCAAGTTTCTCCGGGTCTGTGCCGGTAGGCAGGAGCCGCTGGGGTGTCTTGGAGCGACTCTTTTTATAGAGCTGTTGGGAGGGGAGGCACTTGGTCCCCGTACTGATAGGGTAACCCATGGTAACTGAATTCCTCTCGCAGTGACACAGTATGTGGGCATGACGAGGGTCCAAATCACAGCCACAAATTTTCAAGACGGTCGAACTCCCCTCTCTGGCAGATGTCTTTTCTGCTTCTCTGTCTGGTGGAGATGAAAAGCTCTGGGGAGGAGAGCCCATCCCTGTGCAGACAGAGAACTCACATTGTTTATCCCCAGTAACTCCAAAGTGAGGAACGAGGAGCATCCCTCCCTCCTCCTATTCTCCTGCTTCCCAGTCCCAGGGCATTTCGGACCTGCAGGGCTCTCTGCATCCCTCCTCCTGCTCCATGGCATGCAGCTCTCCACAGTCCCTGTGCCAAGTGCTTCCCTCCAGGCAGGCCTGGATGGGCACCCCTGCATCCCAGGCAGGTTTGCAGCCTGGGCTGCAGGGCTCTGCAGGAAGTAAAAGGCAAAACCAGGCAGCTCTACCCAGTAGAAACACCTTTCATACAGAAATCAGGAAAACTTGGGATTCCCAAGGGTATATTCACCACAGAACACCTGATACTGCTTCCATACTGATCCTCAAGGGAAACCAGAGAAAGACCTTTAAAAGAGGAATCAGAGAGTGAAAATTCAGTCAGGGAGTGAAAATCCTGAACTCTGCAGAGCACTAAAAGTCAGGAACTCAGCAGAGGTATTAGCTGTAGGGCATATTCTTGTTTTTCCCTGATTGGAATGAACCATCGATACCCTGCAGAGCCTAATTACCCTTTCCCCACCTCAGGATTCTTGCAAATGTCTCCTTCTGCTCTATGCTCCATGTCAAATTGTCACTTTG